CATACCCATTCTCCCCCTCTCCCTCGCTCTCCCTCACCCAATAAAAGAGAAAACTTGGCAGTCACACACCATAACTACTCAACAAATTGCTGTCCGGCCTGCTGTTTGGCCCGCGCGCATCACGTCTCAGCATTCGAACGACAGCTTTGAATTGCTTATGGTGCACTTTTCTCCGGAGTGCTCCGCTTGCACATGCAGGCAGCAGCTGACTTGGGCAACAGGGGGGGGGGGGGGGGGGGGGGGGGGGGAAAATTTTTTGGCGCTCTGGGGGCAGACTTTTACACCTGGGAAGAACCATTCCCGTGCCCCGTGAAAAAAGAGTTTATAGATACCCCTTCCGGCGTGCGAGGAGAATATTCACGAAAACTCCCGGGCCCCCTTCTGAACAATGTCACACCCTCAGCCGACCAGGGCTGCAGGTTTGACCCCCCCGGCGGACGGACAGGGCGGCCTCTGAGTGGAGATTTACTTTTCTTCTTTCATTCAAATATCATCTTGTCTTCTTTCCTCGTACAACGGCGAGCTGCTGTGTCCACCCAAGCATTTGTTCCCATTTAGACTTCTTTAATCAAAGAATGTGATTGAGTCCATGTAATGATGTTTTAGACACATGACTTTATTCTGAAGCATTAATCAGAAAAAGTGAAGGAAAGAGCTGGGAATCTTTTGGATACTCGACCCGTCATAAATGTTCCACTTGTCAAAAGGGAACTGCTGTTCATGACACAAAGGACATTAGTAGAGGAGCAGGGGGACTATGAATGTTTTCCATTTGTTCCCCTTACATGTGACAGCATCATGTTGCAGGCAGAGGGGATGCATGTTGAAAGTGTGTGTGTGTGTGTGTGTGTGTGGAACTTTTGCCTTTGTGCTCTTTTTCCATGTACAACATTAACTCCTTTCACACGAGCTCACCGGGCAAATCGAGCGAGAGGGAACAAACTCCGGTCAGAACTCGAGCCGCCGTGTTAACAGCTTCGGCCGCGCGTCACTCAACGTGGGCGACAGTCGTCCGCTCAACTGTCACTAAGTGATGGACGCCTCCGGATCGAGCCGGCCCGCAGAGCAAATGTGAAAAGCAGAGGGGGGAGGGGGGGGGTGTGGGGGGAGGGGAGGGTGTTTCAGCAGGGCCTTTCGCAGCCACGCTGCAGATGCCTTGTGGGTAAAAATAGCCCTGGGGGTGTTAAAGGGCCTCGGCGACGTCCCTTTTTGCGATGCTCTGAAAGCCAGCACGTGAATAAGGCTGCCGTGAGTCATTGGGTTGCCCATGCATGCACTTTTCAGTTTGTTTGGACGGCCATTCAGGACTCGTCTTGTCTGCAGCGGAGGGCTGCGGTTGCGGCGGCGTCCCGGTTACCACGATCAGCGCAAACGTCACAGAGAATCATCTCCAACTTGCTAAATGCTCATCGCATCTCCTCTGTGAACATATGGAAGGCGCTGAGATTTAATATGGAAAAAAAAAAAAAAACTGATATCAGCTTTCCCCGCTGAAAAATGAAGCCTGGATGTTGAACAGATGTGGCCATCAGAATTTGATTCATCGGGCGGGAAACGTGCGCCGGGCCCCCGTACTGATCGGCGTGCGCGGCCGATGATGCGTCGTCTTTAAAAAGGGGATGAATACAAGACCGGATAAGTGAGCCGGCTAAAAAATAAAAAAAAAGATGTTTATAATCTTAGCCCTGGGTGTCAGCTAATGCGCCTGGGGAGACGGGGGCGGGAAGAGATGAGACGTTGCAATCATCTCCCCAAGCGGGCCCCTCCAAGGGAGATGATGATGATATGGGCCTAAACAGCTGCACGGGTAATGGGACTGGGTGCACGCTGGTCTTCTCGTGGAGAAGCCGTTGACCTCTTCAGTGAAAGCCCGAGACGGGGAGCAACAGCGCAACGCTGTTTGGCATCATAAATACATGAGATAAAGAGGCTGGCGGAGGAGGTCCAAGGTGCATGTGCATGTTCCCCCCCAGCTGGAAAGTACAAATAACAAGTACGAGAGGGCAGTTCTGGAGTGAAGGCTCAAATATTTGTTGTGGTTAAACTTGTGGGGATTCCTGTTCAGGTGTCACTGGGTCACATTAATCAAAGTTCGAGGAGGATTTTTATTCTGGTGTCTGCAGAAAGAAGATTAAAAAATGGGAATTTTAAGGCGGAGAAAAATCAGCATTTAAATTAGTTCATTTAAAGTTGAGTCATATTAGATTTGCGCGGCCTCTGGGATAAGTGTGTCACTTCCCTGTCGCTTGGTTTCATCTCGTGACTTTGTTTTGCAATAATTTTACCAATGTGTTAAGCAATCTGCCAGTTCTTCCCGACCTGGACACGAATGAATCGTTCTCTTCGGAGGCGTTCTTTTAAAAACCTGCCAGAGCTTTTTAATAGCTGACGTACTGAAATTTTCTACTTCAGATGACGTAACTTCCCGAATACGATTAATGCAAAGCTAGTCATTTTTGCGTGAAAGTGAAAAGGTCACAAAGTGAAGGTGAATGCTGCCGATGCGGCGCACGCCTATGAAGCTCTATTCAGAATCATCCGATTCAGCGCAAAGCTTTGATGATGCCTGGCTGACGCGGTTCAGCGGAGATAATAAAGACGTTGCTGAGCTGCACTTTGAAAGGTTAAAGCAGGTGGAAGTGTGGCCCGTCCTAAATACCCCCCCCCAGTCCCACGGCGCTTCCATTGGGTCCTTTGTCCGGCATCCTGTCGCCATATTCCCCGACGATCTTTGGGCACCACCCAAACGAGGCATAACAGATGCGAGAAGGGACACGGCCACGCCAAAGGGACGTGAAGCAGCCTGGGGGGGGGGGGGGGGACTTCGCTCCCAGCGACTCCCGTGTTGCATTAGGGAAGATTTTCCAGGAGGCGCTCACAAAGAGCCTTCAGAGCGCTCCCCTGAGCTGCCGCCAAAGCCCCGGAAAAAGCCCCCCAAACAACAGGCCACGTGCACGCCGGCGAGCTCTGCCTGACACGTTGTTATTCATAACACCCCCCCACCACTGGCCAAATCTTAGAAAAACGTATATAGGTCATTCCGGTTCTAAAAATGGCCGTGTGTCCCTGGGGGTCGCCAGAGCATGAAATAGACTTTACATCACGTTAGCCAAGCAACGACAAGCAGGAAACTTCGGTTTTTTGAGAGGCGGTTGTTTCATTTTTCATCCTCCTTTGTTGCTGTAATCGAACATATGGCTCTTCTCTCTCTCCCCCCCCTCCCCAACTTTATGAGCGGAATAAGATATCAGTTCTGCCAGGTTTGATATGTATGACGGGCGAGGCTAAAAGTCTTGTAGTGATTTGGATAATTCTGCTTTCCACCTCCGCCGTTGCGGGAACCCGGTCGCGGATTTCAAAACTGCACAAGGTGGTCACATGACCGGCAGCACAATTATCCCCCACCGGTTCACAATTCCACCTTACCGCCTCAACCGGTCGCAGGTAATATCCCTCGAGCGGCGGCTGCAAAGCTGCACACAATAGAAGAAATAAGCCGCTCTCGCCACCATTGTAGCTTTGACAACTCACACTGCAGTTTGTGGAGTTGGACTCACTTGAAGCAGGGAGGAAGTTTCTAGGGTTCCGTTTACGCGCTCTGCAGATGCTCTTCCTGCACCAGGGTATTATCAAAGTTTAGTTCTTAATTTCCAATGCATAAGCTTGCCGGTGGACGTCCCTGGAAACGGCCTCGCGTTTATTTAAACCTACGGGGGGGGGGGGGCGTTTTTCCTGTGTTCCTTTTTTGGTACAGCGAGCCGGAGTCATTGGTCAGCTGCAGCAGAGAGGGCCAAACAGCACCTCACCACAAAGAGTGTGACATCCACACAAACCAGAGGGGGGGGTGTCAAAGAGAAGCACAATTACAGAGGAGAAGAGAAGAGAAGATGAAAATGATCATGGAAAGAAGAACAAGGATGGGGAGGGGGTGTCGGTCATGTGGCTTCTAATTTTGGTTTGGAAAGACTTTGTTCCGCTGCGGACTGTCGGGCCTGAGACCGGAGCAGCTACTGAACTAGCAGAGACACGAGTAGAAAAATACAACCCGAGTGGTTAAGTATTTTGCATGTGCTTAGAAATACGGTTTGTCGGGCGTTAAAAAGAAGAAAAAAACGTGTGAATGTTATCCTTTTAGAGTGTAATCCAACTTCCTTGTGAAAATATAACAAGCCACAGGAATAAATATGAATAAAAGAAGGGCTCGCATGCCAGTCGAGAGCACAACAAAGGGAAGTTGGGCTCGGATCCAAATTAGAGGAAAGATGAAGATATGAAAAGATCAAAAGCGAGGAGGAGGGGGAATGAGGGGGAAAAGGAATCGGAATTGGCAAACACTGACATCCAGCTGTGCCACACAATCAAATTTTAAAGACACGATGAACTGGAGCCAAAAGGCCTGTAACTTGAATTGGAAGTAATAAAAATATCGAGACAATCAAGAAAAGGTCCACACAGAGTGTATGTGTATATATATATCTATATATATATATATAGATCTTTTATTTTAATATTTAAACCCACTAAAAGTTGTAAATACAACTTTTGAATGAAAGGCACGGGAAAAGAAATCAGACAATGCTGATATACTCAAAAGAAAGTTACAGTACAAAAGTAGACAGTTACGCACTTACAAATCCCTCCAGGTTCAAACGGCCTACATACGGGGGGGGGCAGAAATATAACAGACACAACAAAAAGAGGGCGGCTTGAAAACCAGAAACCCATTAGCCAAACTTCTTTATTGCTTTTCCTAACGGACGGGTGTCCCAGCTCGGGGCGGCTCGTGACTACTGGGCCGTCTATCGGACACGCCGCTGGCCGCTTAGCGTCTGATCCACAACATCGATACAGACCAAATACAGAACACATGGAGCCAAGCTGGGATTTTTTGGGGCGGGGGGGGGGGGGGGGGGGGGGGAAAAACCTCCGGGAACCCAAAGGGGGGGGTTTTTTTATAACATGTTATTTTTCGGGACGCTCCAACATGTTTCCGCACAAAAAGATGGGGGGGGCCAAAAAAAACAACCCACACCTGGTCAGAATCCATTTGCGGAGGAAGGAAGTCATTTAGTAAATCTTTATTTCCTCTTTTAACCTTTACTGGATGGAGCCTGCTGCACTCGGCACTACTGGGGGGGTTTCAGCAAAGGGTTCGTTTACCAAACATTTTAAAGATGTCGCTGCATTGCGTTTCCTATTCTGCAAAATAATCACGGAGAATATGAGAAATCTTAGACTGGTACGGCTCTGGACGAAGCTCCTATTGACAAAGATAGATCAGGACCTGCCAGCTCGTCTCGGATGGTGTGCACATTATGGCTCCTTTGGGTGGCTCTACTGGGGGACACCTGGGGGGGTGGGGCTGTCACTGTGCACTGCTCATGGTACTTAATATTACATATAGCCTCTTTGGTATAGGCACATCTGCATCAAGGGATTACCACCGTCCAATTATTCCCTTCCTTTTCCTGTGTGCAGCTGTCTCACTCCGATTGAGAAGAGGAAAAAAAATACAATAAGAAAAACACACACGCACACACAAAAAAGATGATTGCCACAATCCTGGAAATCAAATGATTGGTTTGAGTAGCAGGAAATCAGACTTATATAGCTGTCAAGGGTTCTCTTTTTCTCCTAAATGTAAACCAACCTGCACCACCCGCCTCTCCTCTCCACCCGCTGTAGCTCGGCCTTCCCAGCCGGCTGACAGAACAAGGAGATTCATGCTGCCTTCACCTTCCTGCAGCAAAGCTACCGAGGAACAAGAAGAAAAAAAACAGCTGTGCAACAGCAGAAATGTAAACACACCAATGTACTTTAATTCAGCCCTACATCAAATAAAACAAGAAATCCAGGGGGGGGGGGGGGGGGGCGGCGAAATGAAACCGGTGTTAATGCTATGGAACAGAACAGTTCTAATGTACGGACGGGGCCGCGCCAGAGTCCCCCTCCCCCCCTCCTACAAGGATGGCCGGGGGAGGTCACCTCTATCCTGGTTCTAACCAGAATCTCCTGGCGCCAAACTCCTCTCTCTCGCTCTCTCACAGGGGAGCAAAGACGGGTTAACAGCCGGAGCTTTAAACGCGTCCGCTGTGATTCATACACCTCCTGATCCAAGACATCCAACAGCGTCCTGCTCAGACACGCCGCCGCCGCCCCCGTGCAAAAGAACCAGGGCCTCGAGAGTTCCCGCGGACCTCCAGGGCGTCGGGGGCCAACGCCGCCTCCGTTCACTACCTGGCGGTGGCCGAGGAGGAGGCGGCGGCCAGCTGCGTGAGGTATTCGCGCAGCTCCTTGGCCGCCTGGAAGCGGCCGTAGCGCTTTTTGGGTCTGGTGCACTCGTCCAACAGGGTCAAGAGTTGTCCGTCTTTGGCTATGTGGGCCGGGGGGTCGTGGAGGAGGCCTCCGGTGGTGCCCCGCCACGTGGCGTACCGGGACAGCAGGTTCTGGCACACGGCGTAGTAGTTGTGGTCCACCGTGACCCGGGAGCAGAGGGACTCCTTGGAGAAGGACAGGCAGGCCTCCCTGTCGCACTCCTCGAAGCGGCTCTCGTACCACACGTCGAAGCTCTCCGGCTTGTCTGCAGGGAGGGAGGGAAGAGGAGGTTCAATGAACACGCCGCAATAAAAATAACACACACACACACACACACACACACACACACACACACACACACACACACACACACAGGTCGTAAATAGTCAAAATGAACATCGCAGTGTGTGCTTCTTTTTCTTGCATCCTTCATCGGGCGAATGTGTGTAAACTCTGCATGATGAAAGATAAATAACAAAATATTGTTCCATCACAGACCAGTAAGCGCTTATCTCCTTCCAACCAGCCGGGAGGTTCACATATCAAATGGATTTTTCTTCTCTTTTTTTTTCCGTTTTAAAATGTGAAACGGCTCTACACGGGACATTTGAAGGGCGACCGATTCTGCGAGATTACAACCAACAGCTTTGACTCCAAAGCAAATGTTGTGCAAATTATTCGCCAAGACATCGACCGGAACAGAATCCGACGGGGCCGCGGTGCCACATTTGACAACCCGCAGGCACAAACATGGAATCCCATCTCAAAGCACACAGGCAAACAACTCCGCAACCTAAACTTTCATTTGACAGGAATAAAACACTTTGCAGATTTATTGAGCACATAAAATTCTTTCTCCAGCTCATTTCACATGCTTTTTCTCTTCGGAGAGTTGTGGGAGAGGGAGCCGAGGAAATAACCTGGAATGATGAGAGCTATTCGTTTGTGCATTAAAAAAAAAAAGATCGATACCATCGTTGGGGAGTGGAGGGGGTGAGGGGACCCAGAGGATGCAAACGCATAATCAGCGTATCAGCGCTGTAATGCACTTCTCCTCTGGCTCATCAGAACAACTCAATCAAACATCCAGCGCTGCCCTGTTAGCAAGGGGCCCCCTGTGCGCCTCCCTGCCTCCCTCCCCCACAAGGAGGAGGGGGAACATCAACCTCAATCAGCGAGGGTGATGGAGATGGATGTGCCCGTTTGTAGTCGCCACAAGCACACGCGCACATAAAAAGATGGTGAACTGAGAGCAATTAACGCGTCTGAGCGAACCATGCATCACACCTCGGGCCTTGATTGACAGGTGGCATCGGGAGAGCGTACTGTTCGCACGCACACACAGACACACACAAACGGAAAGAACGGCTTAAGAGGACAGGTTCTTACTCAAGGACAATGATGAGCGAAGCGAAAGAAGAAAAAAAAGCCGTTTCCTTTGCACCCTGATCCCTTCTGTTCTACCCTTGCGGCTCGGGCAGAAAAAAAAGGAAGCTAGAACATTTCCAAAGCAAACTATGCCCATTTCCAATTCAAATAAGTGGGAGAGCCGTCTGGCCTCACTCGCACCTCCCACGTGGAGGACTTACATTCACCTCACTGCGCCGCCTGCACAGGGCCGCACCGAGAGGGGACATTGGGTCTGAACTGCTTGTTAGCGTGGCCTTCCCGGTGCCGTTCAAGAGTACGAGGCGGTTTTAACAATGCATGCCTGTGTTAAGAGAGCATTATTGAATGCAAGAGAATGTGTGCGTGTGTGTGTTTGCCCAGGCTAGTGAGCGATCCTGCAGGGGAGAGGAGAGACTTACATTATGCAGCATGCGTTTCCAAAAAACACTCGGGGCGAAGCCTCCCACAGACACCAGAAACTCAACCATGGGGGAACACAAGGCGGCGGCAGCGTGCCCGAGTCAGACGCGGTGCCCGAGTCAGACGCGGCACCCCAAAGATCAGGTCTATCATAGTCAGCACGAGGCTCTGACAGCAGGGACCGGATCCTCGGCTCGCGAGGCCACCGACACGTGGGAGGGACACGTCTTCTCTGGCGTCAGATGTTGGCAATTTGGCAAAGTGGCACTTAATCTCGGAATGAATTTGTCGCAATACATCCACTTCAACAAAAGAAATAAAGCAAAACGCTACACCAACACAAGGGTGGAGTCTCGACACCTTGCGACACAACAGTTTATCACTTTAATGGGATTTCTGCGGAGAGGGATAAATCTAAAAGAGCCGGAGCGGGTGGTCGTCCCTCTTTGAAGTAGCCGCACGAAGGAAGACGACTGAGGGGTAAAGAAACACCACACTGAGTGTGTGATGTATAGCTCTCTCCGTCGTCCGTATCATTTATTCTGAAAAAAACCTAGAAAAATAAAGAAAAAAAAAAAACTAGGGCATCGGAGATGGCTTGTTATCCGAACAGTCTTTGCTTTGAAGGGGACGAGCGCGGCGGAGGAACGAGTGCGTTTCTAAGAAGAGAGGCAGCTTCGAGCGGTTGCAAAGTTGCCCTCAGCCAACTGTCCCTCGAGACCTTCTCCTCAAACCACCATCACTGCCTCATGAGCTACATTGGTGCGTTTTCTAGAGAGACTCCAAGCTGTGATAACCGTTCGACTCGCACGTCGGCTTATGAGGAGCTCTGTGACAAAGAGGTTAAAAGAGGTGGAACGGCTTCTGCAGGAGCAGACGTGTCATGAATGCAATTAATCATTAATTATCACTTCCCGTTTTAGAAAAGACAAAACACCAATTACATCTCCATAACTTCCCGCCGACATCGTCCTAAGTGTTGATATAAACGCTGTGAAATGAGGTGCTTTCATCCCATCATGTAGCTTGAGTGGTAGAAACGGTTAGAGGTGAGAGAGACACACACACACACACACACACACAATATCGCCATAGCAACCGGTGCGCGAGCGTGCTCCGGCCAAACGCCACTCACTCTGCTTGATCAGCCTCTTGTCCGCCACCAGGACGTTCTCGGCGTCCACGACGATGACCTTCCCGTCGCGCGGGCCGACCGCGAAGTTGTCGAAGCTGACGTCGAGCAGGTAGAGGGCGAAGTCAAAGTCGTTGTTGGTGAGCTGCTCGGCGATGTCCATGAGCTGGCGCGCCAAGTCCACGCGCTTCTCCCAGGGCGCGTTGTAGAAGCTCCACAGCTCCTCGCCCACGTAGTTGACGGCGACCATGCGCCCGCACGCTCCCAGGTACTTGGCGAACGGCCAGCCTTCATCCGACGGAAAGCTCTGGGAGGGAAGAAAGACAAAGAGGATATTCTTTAATTAGAATAAATAAATAGGGAGACGTCGGGCCGGGTGATGTAGAGTTGGCTGAAGGAAACAGAAATTCCCCCGTTGGATTTTAAAAGCAAACGGCCAACACAGAACCTTCACGCTGTCAAAAAGCATTGGTTTCACTTGCACAGGAACCAGCCTGCAAATAAAGAGAGACAAAAGGAAGAAAAAAATCCCAGACACCAAAACACAACGGGGCCTTGGGAAATTTTTTGATACAAATTCGAAGCACAACAGTTGAGAATTCGCCAAAAGATCACGTGCTGGGTATAACGGACCCAATCTAACAAAAGAAAAAAAGAGCCCGTTTGTGTTACAGCCGTACGGCTCGACGTACGCTGCAGTGCTTCCAGAGGACTGATGGGAGGTGATTTGTGGCAGTAAAGCCAGATGCGGTGTGATGCAGCAGCGTAGTGTCGGCTAGTAGAAACCGCTGTGTATTACAAAGCAGGAACTCCACGTACTTAGCTAGCGGTATTATGTTGTTATTAATCACTTCACGAACAACAACAAGGGTACTGCGAGCAGGAAGTGATACCCTTGCCGCACCCCAACACCCAAATTTCAGATTTACTCAACTTTATCAAGGTCAAACGAACACACACACACACACACACACACACAGGGTGTGAAGCAGCTGCATTAGGGAAACTGTACGTCTGCAGTGTCTCCCACTTTCCAGACATCACTTTCTTTGCTTCTGGGCCATTTTATTGCCCGATGAGGGGCGGTGGGTGAAATCCCCCCCTTTTTGAAGCCCACACTAGTTTCGCTTCAGGTGAGAAGCTCCCATCTCTTACAACAACCCCCCCACCTGCAGCCATATGCCAGCTTAATGACAGCCCAGAATCCCTACGTAACAGACCTCTCATAGGCTGTCGTTTCTGGCAGGAAGCTGCAACAGACGGAATCTCGAGCGCTCACGTGAGCCTCAACCGCCCCCCCCCCACACCTCCCCCTGAAAGCCCCGTAGGTGAGCGGTGAACCACTGTGACGGGGACGCGTCTCACTTTACACTGCCCCAGCTTTAAAATTTGCTTGGAATAAATTATTTAAAAAGAAAATTGAACTCGTTTCTCAAAGACAACAGCTGGCTATTCACAGGGGGGGGCGGCGTGGGGGAGCTGGGAGTGAAAAAGAAACCTTGCTTCCAAGGGTCACTTGGCGGCGTTGAGACATTTAGTCGCACAGTTACAGATTATTATTTGTTTCATGTCAACACTTCATATTCACAGTGTAACATTTAAAGTGAAAGAAGATCAACACCTACAAGTACACTAACTGCAGATTAATAACATTAATACACGCAGTAACTAATGGACAATGCATACAGTCAAATAAATGTAATCTACTCAATGACAAGAACAAACTCACAAGAACCGACTACATTTATTTACACAAAACAATCCATCGAAAGTGATGCACTAAAACGCTGCCGGCCGTTCAAATATTAATTTACATCTGAGGGAACGATATTAACTATTGAATAATCATCCTGATCACCAAGACCTGCTGGCTAGCTTTCCGTTTGACTAAGTCACGTTGGCCCACCGACCAGAGAGCACGTTACTGCAGCTTTGTACGCTGACGCAGACGAGACTCACAACCTCATGCAGCAAAGAGGAACCGTTGCAGTCTGAAATGTAAACGCAAACCAGAGACGTATCTCCCGTTCCCGTCGCTCTCAAGAAAGATCCACCACCAACAAGGGGAGGACAATGATAAGTTGCACACAATGCAGTCTTGGTCGAGCCCATTTCCCCCGAGGTGACCCAATCAATCGTGGGCCAGACAAAAAGTCTGCAGAGGAAGCACTTCTGGCTTCCGGCAGCCCGTCCGTCTCCTTAGCCATGGCAATGACTCATCCCAAATTTCCCCCCAAAACTCTTCTTCATTTACGGATATAACAAACCAGAAAAGAAACTAAATATAATAGCGACTGCTCTCACACACGAGCACCGGCTGGAAAGTAAACAATCCCAGTTAGCGAGCCAGCATGGGAGATTTTAGGATTAGAGAATTAACAGGCTAAATATCTAAAATGGCTTTCTAATTTCTGAAGTTGGTCTACAAAGATTAGGTAGAAGCCGGATCAGTTGGGAGTACATCCCTATTAGTCCCGCTTCCCTTTGACCCAGATTCAAACCGCAGATCGCTTTGTGCCGCAGCAAATCCAAGCAGCTCTCGGTCCTGTTGACAAAACTTAGCCCGTTCAACGTCGGGGCTAAACCTGCTCCGTCAAAACACCATCCTCCCTCTCCCCTCTCTCGCCCCTGCAGGGCAGACGGATAAATGGGGCGCGAGGGGGGAGGGAGGGGAGACAAACAGAAGGGACAAACAAAAGTGTCTCTTGCTTCTCCGCTCCAGTGGACAGGAGGAACAAACCAGCAAGGACCGGCCTGCTAAACACATCTCTCTCCTTTGTTGTCGGGCTGCGGCCTGAATGGGAGCGAAAGTAGAGTGACGGCAGACGGGTGGGGGGGGAGGATGAATGCCCTCGGGGTACTTTTAGCCACTGTCAACGGCTGCTGTGAGAACGCCTTCACGTCCGTCCAGCCCTCGTCCGTGGGGACTCAACGTACATGTTCATCACCGCGCTACGTCCTGACAGACCACACACACACACACACACACACACACACACACACACACCTTTACGGGCTTGCAGCCGGTTGAAAGGTGGAGGGTACCGAGCGGTGTGGAGGTGGGCACCCGAGCTTTGGATTCAGGCTCCTATGGCGGAGCTTGATAAATGCCCCACGTATCCCAACAATCGCTCGCCCTTAGCGCTCTTTAAACGGTTACTCTGCAGAAGTCATTAACGTCTGCAATGAGGCGTTGAGGGGAGGGCGAAATAAATTTGAACGCCCGGCCCAACGCTACCCCCACTGTACTTGCGGAGCAGAATTCGGGAGGGGGCCGTGTGTTTGTGTGTGTGTGTGTGCGCGCGCAAGGACTGTACAGGTAGCACTGTACTAGTCACAATATTGGGGTATTGAAAAATGCTACGGCTGCAGAAGTGCCAATGTCACATCTCAGCAGCTTTTAGTGCTTTTAAAAGAGGTCTTATCACTTCTTGTTGCCGTCATCTCCTGCTTAGTCAAACCGTCACCTCAAAAACCTGGAGCCAAATGCGCTTTCCTATTTCCCCTTTAAACAATCATTTTTTGCACACATTTTTTGCCGTGTTGCAAAAATAAAGGAGCCTGTCCCTGGAGACAACGAAAGCCGGGCTGGAAAAAAAAGAAAGAAGACTAAACCAAAACAGAACTGACTCTTTACATGCGACCTCCCGGTGACTTAATTGGCCTAATCTAATCTTAAAAGGTTGCACCGGTGCACGGCAGTAGCACGGACTGCAGGGTGTTTGTGCTTTTCACTCCCCGCTCTGTGATACAACACACTGGCATCCTCTTGGGGAAGTGTGTGTGTGTGTGTGGGGGGGGGGGGAGATTGGAGTGGGCTGGAAATGAAACAGGGCCACAGACAAATGGGCAGCCTCTGGAGAAGAGGATGAAACGAATGGAGCGAGGAGGCACAGGAACACACACCTGCGTCCTGACATCTGCTGACAAAGGCATGCCCTTCTACTGGGCCACTCGGGGGCGGGCGTCTCTGCGGTGTGTGTGTGCGCCCGCAAGACTTCGAAGGAGGCTTTTTGTGTGTGTGTGTGTGTGTGTGTGTGTTTGTGTGAATCAGTATCGAAGTGCATGTGAATGAGAACATGCAACGTGACCAGGGCTGATAACAACCTCTATTCAGTGGCTGAGTAAACACAAACGGCTCCAGAGATATTGCCTTGGCGGGTCTGCGAAGAACACTCGTCCGTCAAACACGCACAGCGCGGACACACACACACACACACACACACAGCGATGTGTATGAATGCAGGATTGTTTTGGAAAGGAGTCATTTGTGTGTGTGTGTGTGTGTGTGTGTGTGCGCAGCTCGCGAAAGGCCTGTAGATCCTCTGCATTTTCCTTCCTCAGCGTAAAAAAAAGAAAATCGCACGGCTTCTTTGTGAAATGGGGTGAGACAGGACGCCGAGAGTCTGGGGATCAAAACTGTTGGGTTGAGCGCTAGGTGAGACTCAGCCACAGCTAAAAGAAACAACAACAACTCAACCCCCGATGCTGCAGAATGAACATCATTCAGCCCGTTTCTCAAAGGGTGTGGGGGGGGCGGGCTCAGCCTTAAGAAGGGGGTCACATCTGCTATGCGAGGCGAAGGCTGCCGAGGCTGGGTTGAAGCGGCGCAGCTCTCCCCCGTTAACCTCGTGTGTCTGGAGGATGTGTGGCGAGCCCCGTCTGGCGAGTTTAAGTGTAAAAATCCAGTTGGTTAGTTCGCTGCGAGGGGCCTGGGCCCCCGGCAGGGGGGCCGGCGCCAGCTCCTCATCCTGGCGAACACACCCCGCTATCCATTTCTCCCCTTCTGCCCTCGTCTCCTGCTGCTTCTCCGGCTCACCCTGCGTCTTCAACCTCCCCTTGCCCTCCCTAAAGAACCTAAAATACGGGCCAGCGATTCCGTCTGTTTCAGATATGGAAGCCAGAAAATGCCCAGTCGGAGAAGAGAGAAAGTGTGGCTGTCTGTAGAGGACAAAAAAAAAAAAGCGGTAAAAGGATGGAGACCGTGTCTGAATTGAGATCAGGCCCCGCCCCTTTCCTTGCCAGACACGCGGTTCTAAGCGTGCCAAGTTGCAGTCTGTGGAGCTGGCAGCCGTCTTGGGAAACAGGAAGATCGCTAAGTGAGAAGGACTGAAACAAGAAAAAGGACAGCTGGGCGCGCAGGAACACCGAGCGCGGATGACAAATCAAGACCGAGAGGTCAAGTAGACGGACAAAACGGAACCGTGTTCAGTCGGCGTGGGAGGACGTGCACGTGGCTTGGTGATGGCGGGTCATGTCTTTTCTCTTCACGGAAAGGAGCGAGCAGCAGCTCAGGGTGTCTAGTGCACTCTGCTGCTCGCCGGAACCCCTTTGGCGACCTGGACCAGAGTCCCCCCCCCCGGTTGGAGAGCGAGGAATGCATTAAGTCACGACCAGCGCTGTTGACTCAGTGTAGGTGGCACGCCGCCCGCGCGGCTGGGGAGGAGCCAAAGTGAAGCTTTGCCTCGGGCCTAAAGGGGTGCGGGCTTGGGGCCGACTTCAAGGGTTCTGCATTTCAGTTTAGGTGCCAATTATCCCGGGGCGGCGGGGGCAGCTGCCCCCCACCCCCCATCCTACCCGCCAACTTCTCTGCAGAAGAGGAAACATTGAGATAAGCCTCTCCCCCCTCTGCAAAGCGCAATTAAATTGTAAAAGGCTGGAAAGGAAGTTTCTGGTCCACAATCGCGAGAATTTAAAGTGCTGGGGTCACTTTATTTATAATACACTGACCCCCCCCATATTTCCTCCGACAGGAGCGAGGTGTCCGGCGCTTTAATGCAGCAGACTATTTCATTACTGCGGACAGGCTGCAGTGCTAAAAAGCATAATCTTGCTTTACATGAAGCCCTCTGCTCTCCAGGGGACGCCACAGGAAGGAACCACTTGTTCCCGATCCATATCGGCCATCTTTTAAAAAAAAAGGGGCCCAGGAGACTTTGTGAATGTGGATGAACTCTTGCAGGACTGCGTCTTCAGGAACTGACCACGCGGGTTGGGCGGCATGCTGTAACGGTAGGAACTTGGGGGGCGAGGGTGGGGTGCAGGGTAAATCTAAAAAAAGGAGTTGGTGGGTGGGATGAGTGGAGGGGGGGGGGGGGGGGGGTCCGCCACAGGCATTTAACTAACCAAACACAGCTGTTATGCATGCGCCTTATGTATGTGTGCGTGTTTGGAGAGCTGGAGAAAGAGAGAAAGAGAGAAAGGATTATGGTAACACAAGCAGTCTGGCTCATTCAGATGTGGTGAAAACACCACAAGGCTCCGGTTTGTACAACACACACACATTCATACACAGCACCTCCTTCTCCTCTTTCCACCAGGGCCTCCATCCAGCGAGCCAAAGGAGGGGAGTCGGGCCCAGATAACTCCCAGTCTTATCCTAACAGGATTCAGTCTGTACACAAAGGCCTATACGAATAATGAAAGGGGGTTTGGGAGCACTTGAAGCCGGGTTAAGCGCCGTACACAACCTCCTCTCTCATGTGCTAAGAGCGTCCCAATCCCCCAGACCCCAAAACAAAAGGTTCTAATCAGAGACCAGCAACTTAAATACTGTTTACCGGTGGACCTCAGCCACTGAGCCGGCCTCAGAGACAGAAGCCCCCCACTTAAGCCGGGATAGCATGCAGTGTCTGATTAAATGAAAAGAAATAAATCAAACTAAAAACAAAACAAGCTTTGATCCCCGCTGTACAGAAGCATGACCCAGAAAGCCAGACCACGCATAGGAAAACACAGGCTGAAACCCACGTCTGCTCCGTAAGGAGATGACCAGGTGGGCAATAAGATAGTTATTGTTAAACATGGACGAGATTTTGATTTATTTCACGCGAGCCACTAAACACTAAATGCGTGCTCTCCAACGTGGCTTTAATATTTATCTCTCATCCAGCATGTTGTAAAAACAATAACGCCTCATTTTGTGCCGAGAGGCGCCTTGAATTTATACTATTTACTTTGGCTCAGTTTCCTAAAGTGGATGAGCATCGTAACAGATTATGCAGAGCCTCATTAAATCAATAGCGTACCCAACCCCCCCCCCATCTAAGAAAATTACACAGGCTGCCAGCGAGCTGCTCACAGCGATGTTTTCTTCAAAGTTGCGTATAAAAATGCCGCCGTCAAAGACGCCTCTCCTCCGATGGAGCATCCGGGTCGAGAAGCCTGTGTTCTACAAAAAAAATAAAATAAAACCTAGAGCGGTGTTGTGGCATGTTGAACGAGGTGGTGGATTTGTGGAAGGTGGAGCACACACTTGAGTCTGGAGGAGAAGACTGCGTTACCCCCCACAGGCCTGTCACTTCCTATTCTCAGCTTCACTGGGCAAGGCAGCGCTGAGGACCAAAAAGAGTGCGAGCGCAGTCACATGCTCCTTGCTGTCTGGCCGAGCTTGACGACTCTGAAGGAAGGACTAGGCTGAATCAGACTAATTTGAGGTCAGGCCGGATGTAGTCCACACCGACGCAATCGGGCGATGAGTCACTGAGCCGAGGGTCGACAAATAAGGATTGACTCATACAAACCAATAAAAAGGTGAGAAAAAAGAAACTGACGTGTCATTTCTGTGGTTGGCAAAGAGGGAACTCTCCGGCACTCACTGATTTATATCAGCAACAGAAAAACAAACTTATCGGTGAAAGATTGAGAACTGCAGCACGAGCTGAGAGGAAATGGAGGATTTCGTCTACCGAAAAAAATATTTGTTTTCCCCAAAGCCAAATTGCCTTCCACGTCACACAGGAGAGGGGGTTGTTTTTGTGCGTATGAGTGTGCCCTTTGTGTGCCGCAGGTAAGACACAGAAAACGCATTGTTGGACGGACCCTAAAGAACGGAGCAGATTGTCTTCTTTCTCCGGGTGAAACGGGGCCGATTTACTGTTTGTGGCTTCGGGGCTGGAAACAGGAGAGAGCGCGCAGCGGAAACATTACTGACATTGTTCAACGGTGTTAAGCCAGAGGAGAGAACTGAAAATAATAAAAAACAACAATAACAACAAAAATACAAGCAACCCGAGTAGCCAATGAAGGTGGGAAATCATTACTAAAGACGCCGAGTGCTATCGACGCGTCCAGCTGGCTGAAGACTGCGAGCTGGATGAAGCAGCGGCTGACGAGAAGTCAAAATCAGGTGACATTAAATTACTGGTCATAAAACTCAGCGCACATTCCTCTCTACCTTTTGTTGAAACAAGTCCCGACACAAACACACACAACCCTTCCCCCTCCAGGGGACCAGGGTGCTGTATTCACGCTCTATAGCTGCCATTAATTCTTTATAGTCTACCGCTGCCCGGCCGTGTGTGTGTGTGTGTGTGTGCGCGCGCCTGCCTTGCGGTCTCACACCTTTAGAAGCTCGGCGATGCCGCCGAGCAGTCGAGGCACTCTGGGATTCTCTCAGATGTCTGGCACATTGCTGTGTGCATCGCCCATCCACATGATCCGTGCCCGAGGTCCGTTACACACACACACACACACACACACACACACACACACACAGAGAACTTAGAGTTCTTTCTCGTACCCGCGGGTCACAAGTTCAACACAAGATCAACAATTCATGAGTCCCTGTAAGCATGCAACCAGGATGCAGGGATTCAAAGGAGCCGTGCACAAAGTGTGTGCATTATGCGTTGTTGTGCGACCTCTGCAGCTGTGTGCGTGTGTGTGAGGGGGGATTCATCGAGCCTCTGAACTGGGGCATAATACCATTAAAAAACACTGATGGAATTATCTGGATGCAAGTTTTGTGGAGCGCACACAAAAACAGGCGGCAAAATGTGGGAGGGCGATGACACAGAAAGAGGGGAGGCAAGAGGAGGAAGAGAAGAAAGGGCGAGAACATGTGACTCCCCAAAGGCCAATCAGACTTTATAGATCAACTGGAATAAAAAGCAGATCTCGTCCTTTGTCCTCTGAAACGCCCCGGAGGTGTCCGGCCCTTTTGTCGGAGGCCTGCGGGCCTTATTGAAGGTCGACATGAGCCGCGGCAATTGTTGTTCACAAGATTGTAATTGATCGGCTGATTGTAAATCAGTGAGCCAAAAAAAAAAAAAAAGGAGGCCGCAAACGTGTATGACTGCACGGACACGCAGGATGAAAGAATGTGTCGGTACTTCACCGCCATTTCTGTGTTAGAGCAAGACTATTCGGTTTATATGAGGCACCAGTTTTGTCGGCGCCATGCATCATTTACCCTGTCAAATTAAAAGATTTCTAATGTTGTAGCGCATTATAGTTATTAATATTTATAGTCCAACTGTGTAAAAACAGGCTCAATCTGTCACAGTCACATCGAAACTAAACACTTGAAGGCAACAATGTTTCGGGTTTTTGCCCATTCGTTCACGTTGGAGATTTCCACTAAATCTTCCTTAAAAGCTTTTATTTTGGAAGCTTAGCAATGGATCAAGGATATTGGTATTAATGCAAAAGATTCCTCAATGAGCTTTCCCCCCACAAAAGAGAGACCAGTGGACACGGACGTAGACTCAAATTAAAAACAACGCCGACCATTTAAAGATGCACTCTTGAATAATTCAGAACTGCCCTACATAGTGTTAAGTATGCAGTATTGCCGCCAGCAAAAAATCTCTCATCTTTTGGGAGGCCACAGCTCTTCAACCCTTCCCTATTCCAAGCGGAGGAATATCCGTCCTGCGGATGCGCAGTCCCAACGTAGCCTCCAGTTTAGGGAGGGGTGTAAAGGGCTCGTCTCAGATCTGTGGCAGAGGAAGTAAGAGGAGGATTCCCTGTAATTTACTGGAGGCTTTGTGGGCCAACACCCCGCCTTGCTTACTGATGCGCTTATCCTCTATGCAGCAAAAAAGGTAATCCAGGAGCAGGTCCTTATCAACAAGTCTGAGAACACCTGGGGCGACAGATCAGCTGACAGAAAACCCCTTTAAAAACATCTCCTGTCCTGAAAACAAGCTAAAAGACATTTTAAAAACCCACACACACACACACACACACACACACACACACACACACCTGTAGTACGAGTGGTTCCGGGTTGAATGCCAAGGTCATGAGCAGCTGCATTCTCTCCGTGTCCTTGAGGTTCTTCAGCAGGAAGCTGCCCGAGTCTTTGGTCTCGGCGTACCTGCGGACCACACGGTCCAGCAGCCTCTGGGAGGGGCAGTGCACCAGGTCGGACCAGCCCTCCACCACCTCTGGCGTGAGCAGTCGGACGTCGCCGTTGATCCGGGCGAACTCGGTCTTGTACATGGCCTGGATGAGGTCGCAGCGCGGCCGCCCCGTGGCCCTCTTGCAGATCTTCTGGTCTATCTCGGCCAGCTCCTGGTTGGAGCCCAGCCTTTTGAGCACCACGCGGCGCGTGCCCTCCCGGGGCTCGCCGTACTGGGCGAAGTAAACGTTCTTCACGTTGAAAACGTCCAGGAAGCGCAGGCGGCCCCAGGTCTCGAAGGACACCTGGCCGTTCATGAACTTGCGGCACCAGCTGGTGCCGAAGCAGGCGGGGCACTTGTTGAGGTTGATGAAGCGCCTGTCGGTGAGCTCGTTCTTCTGGAAGGAGGCAAACAGGCTGTGGGTGTTCATCAGCAGGATGACGAACAGGCCCACCACCAACAAGAGCTTCAGACACCGGTACAGGCGGCCGAGCTTGAGAGGCAGGAAGCGCAGCATGGTGGGGCGGGGCTTGTCCAGGGACGGCGGGGAGGAGAGGTATCGAGACGATCGTCGGGGAGGGCAAACCTCAACGCCTCTCCGTCATGGCGCACCGGGGCAGCTTCTAAAGCGGCAGGCAGGGGCGAGGTTGGCACAGCTGCCCCCTGCCGCTCGCTGGGAGGGGCCAGCGGGTCATTTTCTCTCCTCCTCTGTGTTTGGGTGCGACCTGGAGCAAGCGGGCCTGAAATCAAGCAAAAGAGAGGGGAACTCGTTACACCAGGAAACATGAAAAAGCCGGATTCCACAAAACCAGAACCACTGACGGCAAATGAAAATAAGCTTCAGCTCAGTCATTTCTGATGGACCTGCAAGGTGGAATCACCCAAATCCTCAGCTGTGAGTGCCCCTATTAAACTAAAGACGTTTCACAACTCTAATTGTTGGGTCATTTGAGGTATTTCTCTGTTTGAGCAGATCTAAGATATCAGCCAATCCCCAAAAAAAAGTATGCTGGGGGAAAAAAAGGAAAAACTAAGTGGAAAAAGATCAAATTAAGAGGATTTGTACGGCATCCTCTTCTAGTAAAAGAGAAAAGACGCTGCACTGCAAGGATGATTCCTCAGAGGACCTTCCTCCGCTGCCATCTCCATCGACTTTCTCCCGATGCTCCGCAGAACCAGCCGCCTGCATAGCGCAATAGTTACACCGACCTCAGAAAGCCCAATTCTTCCTCCTCTTGCCTCAAATGGAAAAATCCCACTTTGCATTGTGAAGATTCACGCTGTGCGTGGTTTAACCTTTGATCAGAGTTTTTTTTTTTTTTTTTAAATCAGGCTTTGAAGTAGTTTCTTTGAAAATGGCTCGTGTCACTGAAATACCTGAGCGGGTGAGAGGATCCGTGAGCAGCTCGATCAGGCCCACCGAAGTCGGCGGGACGAGGGAACGTTGAGAGCCAATACAGAGACAACGATCACCCCCTTTACGGTACGAGACGACCCCCCCCCCCCCAGACTGCCCACAACAAAGCCGCCCTCAGCGATAGATGCCCTCAAATCAGCAAAAGAGTCTCGTAACTCTTACAAGTCGCCTTCAGAACTCGTCCGTGTCGATGGAAAATCCTCGATGAGAGCTCATTGGGACGCGCCTATTAGGACAGCTGACTGGAGAGGCCACGGCGAACAAGAACGATTAGTGTTGGGCTCCTCGCTTCATCCGCTTTCAGATCAAGGTAGTGAAAATGTGGTAGAGACACGGTGGGGGGCGGGGGGTGACGTGCTAGATAAGAAGCAGATTTCTCACCTCACACCACAGTCATAAAAAATAAACCCCATCCAAAAAAGGGGAACTACAGACGGCAGTGCTAAATACATTTCTATGCAGCAAAAAAAGGTATGACTCATGTTTTCTTTTTCCTTTCTCAACATAAAGCTAAAAAGCCCAGCAATATATAGCAAATATCATTTGAACTTTAAATAGCTGCTGCAAGTCTGTATGACAACCCCCCCACCCCAAAACAAGAAAAGAATAACAAGAGCCAAAAGGACGTGTGCCTACAGAGAGCCAGAGGAAGCTCATCGCTTGAGGGGAAAAATGGAAATACCCCCTTTGCCTTAAGATCTCCATTCAAACGCCGTTTAGCATCGAACAGAGGCAGCCGTAAGATCTCCAGATCTCCAGTGAGGATACAAGATCCAACTGGGATCAGCCAACGGCTCAGAGAGGACCAGAACGTAACCTCGGCCGCGGGCCCAGGAGATGATCGCCCACCTCGTCCTCAGGCGCGAGCAGCGGAGAACAGGCACGGGGGCGAGAACCGGAACGCCACCGCGTAACGAGATGCGCGAGGACGTGGCTTCTTCCTCCTCCTCTCCAGAGAAAGGGTTCTCCTCCATTACCGTCAGAGCGTTACCTGGATTAATTCAATGATTGTACTAATTGCTCAAGTGCGCGGATAAGCCACACACTGCATTTACTTTGTTAATGAGGGACGGCCCCGGTGCTCAGATGCTTAAAATATTGACAATGAATCGCACGAATGTGCCACTGATGGCTTATCCTTGATCTTCTGTACTTTTGTTAAGCGCGAGGCAGGCGAGTGCAAGAATTTAAATGCTACTAGATTAAAGATTCAATAGGCTGCTGCTGCGTATGCTGAGAATAAGATGAAAACATTCCGCCTTTTTCCAAGGATGCATGGTCATTCAGGAGGGGATATTGTTCCCTGATTGATTGATTGATTTCCCAACCAGATAGAATTTTTTTTATATTAATTTCACACCTGGAAAACCATGAACATTTAACTTGCCGGCTGTCTATTGCTGCGTGCCACCCGAGGGGCGAAGAGTTATCGAACAGGACAGAGGAAGTCTGGCCGTGTAGGGCTCAAGGTTGCCTGTAAAAAAAGGTATTTTAAACAAAAGTTCCCTTAGAAAACTGTAAATTGAAGCCAGGTGCTTTGTATTTCAACGTCGGAATACAAGGGCAGGGAAATGTAAGTGCTCAGTGTTTTCTTTTGGACAAACCTTATTGTGCCCACAGAGAACTTGTGTTCCAAGTTACCACCTCCTCCGTCTGTCGCAGCGCCTCTTTGCAGGAGGAAGAGGAGGAGGAGGAGGGACGCGCAGCACAGAGGAGGAAAACCTCGTTAAGGACGAGCACCAAACATCACCTCTGATCTCTCTCTCACTCACACACACACAAAACTGGGGTAAAGTTTTGCAGCATTTCTCGGTCTACAAAGTAGTGCGGTGAGCGCTTGGAAGGAGAGGCAAGGAAAAGAGGGCAAATCAAAGGACGCCTGACTCCTCATGCATGGGAGATGAGTCCCGCATTCAAAATGTTCCAAGTTTGGCAGATGCTAAGAGCCGCAAAATGGCTCATTACCGAGACAGAGAGGGCACAAGATGAAGCAACGGGCCCCGTGTTGGCGTGAAACAGACTGACAAAAGGTCGACACGGAGGAAAGATATATCGTAACATCCTTATATTTGTACTTTTATTAGAACTTAAATTTCGACAGGAGTAACCCAGATAAGAAAGGAGGTCGAAAAAATGAATTTCTGCCAGGAATAATCTTTCCCACAGCTCATTGTGTGAAGCTGGCTTCCGATAATGGCGTGCGAGGGCAAAGCTACTCTCGGGTTAACCCATTTCCTTCACTGCACCTGAGGCTAAAACTTCATTAGGCCATAATGAAGTCAAGCCACACACGACCATGCCTGATTAATACCCCTGGATGTGCAAAAGAGAGTGCAAAGACGAAGTGTTGATAAAATGACTGGAACACAGTGGATGGGTTGAGGGGTGGGGGGGGAATACAGAGGAAAGATAGCACTAATGCATAGCTAATGGACAGCGAGGTTAGAGCAACTTTGAGTTATTGCTCTTGTGACGGAGATGAATGGAAAGAGACCACAAGAATACAGAGTAGCAGCTCTCCACCTCTGAATGGATGCACACAAAACACACAGACGCACAAACACCAACGCGTCCACCAAAACACCCCTCCCCTTGCAATGTGTGGCTCGAGCTGGATAGAGGAACTACTGTTGCCAAGGTTATCGACTCGGGGAGTCAATAATGTTTGATCGAGGAAAAAAAAAAAAAGAACTTTCAGCCGGATTGTCTCAAACACACAGACGGATGGATACAAAACCACAGCAACGTTCACATGCACGATGGGAAATTGGGTTCTCGGAATAGAAGCGTCAATCAATAGAATAACACACACACACACGAACATTAGTCCATTCACACTATGGCCAAAGGCAAAACTGTAGAGGTCTGAACAAGAATATCGGCGCCATCCGCTTTGCGCCCGTAACCGAAGCAGACAAACTTGAACTTGGGAGACTTGTTTCTTCAACTGACGAGTGTTTGTGTCTTTTCATTTTACACAGCTGGACACCCCCACCACACTCCCTCCATTCTGCACCAGCTTGAGAGTTGTCACACTTTGCAGCTGCAAAACAAACTCAAACAAAAAATAAAAAAGATGAACTGTCAGAACGAGCTTTAAACAAATGAAGAACATCTTTTTCCGCGGGGGAGTTAGGTTGAAATTGATTAGCTGAAAGACATTTATTATTTCACTTAAAGTCACTCCCTGCAGAGCGCTGAGAAACATTTAAAAAAAATCAACCAACAGAAAGTCTGAAGAGAATCGAATTGGTCTATTTTCATAGCTCTCCTGACTAGAGACGCTCCACAATTAGTCGCATGTTATGAATGAGAATTAATTCCAGTCAGCCTCCTCTATTCAGTGGACAGTAACGAGAAATCCTCACAATAGGACCACGTCTGAACCGAACAGCGGGGCTGCTGTTATCTATTCCTCATAGATTAAAAATCGAGGACAGAAGTTTGCAAAGAGCACCTTGAGCTTTTTTAACCTGACACGCAAACGTCTCAACCTGCGATCAGGGCGCCGAGTGGGAGAACCGCGGAGGTACTTTAAGCATTTAAACATTAAAGTGCCGAGAAAATACGAAGTTTGGACGTTCAATACAACATAAAATAATTAGAAAAAAAGCGTATGGTGCTGTAATATGTGGTTCTGCACAAACGTGACGTATAAGGGGACACTCGTGCATTATATTCCTCTATGGTCATTATAGAGTTGTGTTCAGGTACCAGTGACGGACGTGATTACGGTTTTTACTGACGAAAAAAAAAAATGTTCACAGGTTTAATAACAAAATATTCATGGCGCGGTTGCACAGAATAAATCACCCAACTTCAAATATAAAGAGTCTTGGTTCAACGTGAACACGGCTTTTCAATAAGAAGAAAGAAGGAAAAATAAAAAAAGCTGTGAAACAAACCTTGTGCGACTTTCCTCTCCGGGTCCGTAGCAGCGCGACGCTTAGCGCATCATATCATTATTTAAAGTTGCGACGAATACTTTTAAATCGCAGCCCCCGGCATGGAAATAGGAAAACGGGCTTCTCCCCGCCCCCCCCAAAAATAAATTTAAATAAATTTAAAATAAATAAATAAAAGCTCGACGGAGACCGCGGTCGAGCGAAGTCGCGTGGGCTTCCCGTGTGTAGCTCCCGGGTCTGTAGCCTGCTAGCCTGCTAGCTGCCGGGATAAACAGTTGGGATGTCGGCTCTTAACTCTTCCCGCGCCGCCGCTTTCCGCTCCTCTCCGCGGGGGACGCCGACGTCCTCGGTGTGCGCGCACGTCCCGTGTCCCTCCGACTTGTCGCGAGTCGCCTCCGTGGTCGCGGAATTGTCCTCCTGCTCTTCTCCTCCCGTCGGGCAGCGACTCGCTCCTCTCTCCCGCACCACAATGGGTTCTGTCTCGAGTCCCCTTTTTTCTTTTTTCAACAGCAGCGGCTTTGCGCTTTACGACAGCCGCGGCCGGTTTACGGCGGTGGTTGCTAAGCGACTGTTCTAATATTGTCTTGTCTGGAATACCGCCCCCCCCCCCGGAGCAAAGTTTGCCTAGATATGATATATTTCTTTCCCCACTTTTACTCCAATCCATGTGATAAGAATAAAAACTTAGCTAAACTTGGAGTGGTGGATTCATTTAAAGAGACGTTTAACACAATATTACCGACTGCAGACACGGTGCTTTGGTGTAAATAGAGCGTTGGAAGCACGAGGTCATGACTGGACCGGAGTTAGAGGTGCCAGTGTCAACGTTGAATACCTGATTATGACGAGATAATCCGAATGAAATAACGCAATTAAGGCGGATGAATGTGCGTTAATATTCAATTGGGTTGTTGCCCAGCTTCATGTACGTAGCCAGCCCTCGGTGCTTCTTTACCAGACAACATCATTTAAACTTTTACTTGACCACAACATCCTTTTTTGTTCGTTTTTATTATTTCTGCATGGCAATGTCAGGATGTCATTATTGCATCCCTACCAAACGCTGATTAAATGAATGAAGAACCAACGCTTCAATCGAGTGGAGATTCAGTTATTCTCGTTGCGAATCTGCGCGTGAATTCGCTTGAACTTACTGCCACCTGCTGGGAAATCACAGTATGACGCTGCTGCTGAAATGAATAGAACGTTTAAATAATATATATATATAGCAAAATGCTGACGATATAAAGCCAGCCTGCCTTCAATTGATTGATCAAACCTGTGCTTTTGAAATAATGCAGTGGTGACATTTTCTAATTTGGCTCCTATCACCAATTTCATCATTTATCATTAATTCTGAATTAACAGAACAAACCCAACTTAATGATAAGCATATGGGTAAAAGTACGATATGGTGTTGAATCATAGGTAGTTATTTGGCATCACAGCATGACATTGGACTAACCTTTTTAATTTGGCCATTAAACTAAAACAATAATCGCCTTGTAGCTCCAGGCACCATAAACTATTAAAGACTCACCAGTAAGCAGTGAACTATATTTAATTCATGATACATTACAAAGTGCTTTGCACTCCAGTAGCTGCATTATGATTTATTTGCTCCTGGAATAGTTTATTCTCATGTTACATCACTTTCACAACTGCACGTTGGTCTTCGCTTGTGAGTGCGATTGTTGGACGCTGCTCATTTGACTGGAGAGACAGTAGTGTCTTAACAGGACACCTCGCCTCTGGACATTAAAACGTCACCTCCCACTTGAGCGGTTTTAAACATGCCGTGAGAGTCAACCGACGATTCCCACCGCTCTGAATCCCTCATACGGTAACCATGGCAATTTAATTTCACTAGCACTTTAAATCGATGTTACAGAAGTGAATAATTTATGTGCAGGTGGTGCAGGTTGTGACACAACATAGCCTCTAATGGAAAGTGAAACCACCTGCTAAAAAAGCATTTACTTTAAAAAGGTGCATTGCAGAAGGAACATGAGAAAACAAACTGCCGCTCTCAGGATGCTTTCTTTTCCTCTAATGTAGTTTTATATATTAGAATTCATATCAACAGTGGATCCTCTGAAGATGTCTAGTTATTTGTGTTCTTCTAAATTGCTTCCACGGACTGTTTGTTATTAGGGAGGCTGGAGAGAAACAGGGGGGAGAAATCCATTAAACCTGCATTGTAGTGTCGGGGGAAAGAAGAGCCGCTGTTTATGATGTTTGTGTGGTCAGGTCTCCACTGATGTGAGCTTAACAGGAAGCTACTGACGGCTCTCCATCGTAAACTGACCTCGTCTCTGCAGGCCGGGGGGGGGTCTCCATTGCTGAGGGTTAGCGTGGACGACTGTGGTCTCTGTGCTTCATGACGACTTTAGAGGGCACGATCGCGTTAAACGCTAAACTATCGTCAATGAACAGTGTTCTCACTTACGTAATCTCCTCTACCACCAGAACAATGGTGGAAGCGTGTGGGAGCTAAAGAGCGGAAGCAGTGAGAGGTTGAAGGTGCTTGTGAGGAGATCTGATTGTCGGCACACAGCTTGAGATCTTGACCTAGGATGCCATCGGGTGCAGTTGGGGGGTAAATCCTTTTAAAATATTAACAACCATCTTCCCTGGATATTGCTTGTGGCCCAGACATACTCTTTTATAGTAGAGAGAGCAACATTGATCTATGAACAAAACAAGACTTTACACTAAAGCTCTGTGAAAAGTATGTTTCTGCCATCGACTGCAAACACAAACCGTGGAAACAATAACAACACACAATTGATTTTTTCTCGAAATTCGGGTTGCTGTGAAGACATTCGGCGGGTTCGCTCGCAGGCTTCCCATAATGAGATACAAGTGGTTTGTCGCTGGCTCGCTCGGCATTGCAGGGAAGATAAGACGTAGCGAGGTAATCTAAACAGGCGATGCAGCTTTTCTCCACCTGTAACACGAGCAGAACGCAGTAATGGATGTGAAAATCTACCATCTGCTCCAAGATGGGGAGGGAACTATGGCACCGTGAATATATATTCCAAATCACAATCTGCCAAGCAGAGAATATATCAAATATATATATATTTTGTGATTTATATATATGTGAATGCAGTAGAGAAGCACTGCTGCTTGTGAGACAGTTTAATAAGCAGTTGGTCAGCCCAATACTTATAACGTTATAACGTTTAATCAGAAAAACACTTAACTGTCATTGTTAATGCTGAAGGTATGATTCAAATTAAATTAAGTATTGATAAACAGTGTCGGCAGCATAGTTTATTTGTGTGATTTCTTTGTCCCTGATATGCAACAGGAATAGTGTCACTACTGGACCGTAAGCCAGAGTGCTGCAAACATCTGAAAGAAATGATTTGTGGGAAAATGGAATTAGTCAGAGATCCTAATGTAACAACAACATAGAAGAGCCCGACAGCCGCCTCCGGTTGTAATTAGCGTCAATGTTTTCTGGCTGGCTTTCATTTTGCGGCGGTGCTACCGGGGAGATTTCTCATTTAAAAGAAACCAGCCAATGAGCCGGGGAGTCGGCCACACGATGGCGAGCGGGCAGGGGAGGGTGCGGAGTGAGTCTATTTGAAAATGTATTTCTTGATCTCAGGACGGTATTTCGAACAGAGAGAAAGGGAGTAAGTGACCCACGAACCCTACAAATCATCCAGGCCAAATGTAACTCCTCGCTAATGGCTTGGACTCTTTGGCTCCTTTGAATGCTGGGGTCTCATTAGCAAACCAGCAGAGACCACCACAGAGGCCATTACTTCGGTCGGACCGTTCTGTGCAGCCTTCAAGCCATTAAGCCTGATGCATATGGGGGTCCTAGCAGAGAGAGATAAGAATTTCATTGCATTACCGAGTCCATTACGTGCCACCGGGGAGTAAAGCATTAAAGTTTGTGGTCTGATTAAATTTAGTGCTGCTCAGCTGAAGAGGCAATTAGTGTATACAACACACCTTCATCCCGACTCGGTGGTGCAGGTGGCCCTTAGAATAAAACCACCAGCATATGCATAATTGACTAAAGTGTATGTATTAGTCTCTGTTATGCTATTTTATATTTGCCACGCAGAGTCTGCAGAAATACATATATATACATATACATATATGTATCTATATATATATATATATATATATATAGTGCAGTTTGGGTAATTGCAGTCACGAGAAAAGCAATTTATGTTTTGCCGGGTGATGGTGGCGGAGAGATGGGAGCAATTTGTAATGCTGGCGGTCGTTTCAAGTGTGAATTCATGTGAAAACGTGGTCACTCCGAACCATACAGAGCTTTGCAGCAACAGAAATTGTGATTAAAAACATTTCCACATATTCAGACATACGCACGTGTAAATGGTTACTATGATGCAATGCTTTATAGAGACAGCCCTATTTGCATTTGTATATATATATAATATAAATGTTCATGCAAATCCAGATGCTTCAATATTTTCTTTGCAAGGATCACATACCTGAAATTCAATTGAAGTAGAATTTCATTTTGAGCAATGTAATGAGACCTTGCGGGATGTGGGAGCCAGAAAAAAAGAACATTATTTTGATCTGAATTGAATTTCACTGCTGTTTGATCCTCAGAAGGTGCCCACAATAGACATAAAAAGAATCCGAGGATGAAGGACATGAGAGGGCTACCTTTCCTGGGAGGCTCGTATTGCACGGTATTGGCTGGGATGAGAAACAGACAAAGAACATGCAAAGCATGTTAGGAGATGCCTCACACTCGGGCTACTCTTTGTATGGGATCTAATGCAGGTTGTCGCGATCAGCAGCTTGTGATTTTGTTTGATTTGAATCAACGTGTGGGTCTGAACAACATACACAACCTGGGAGACTTCTCGCTTTTGTATCACGCTCTGCTTTAGTCAGCTGAGTCCGAGTGACGACACCTGTACAAAATGCCAATGTAAGATGCACAGTAATTATATTACAGGCCTGATGTAATAATGCACCATCTTAGTGCCGCCAGTGAAGATTCAAAGGCTTAGCAGTTATACACTCACACAGTGATGGTTTTTGCAGCTAGGCGCATTCTTACGAATTTCAAAGAAGGGGACAGATATGGTTGTCGTGGTACCGGAGAGACTATTGTGACATTGGTATTCATTGAGGAACAAGAACTGCCCTCTGTCCTCAAAACAGAGTTGCAGGAAGTGAACAACGTTTGTGCAACATGTCAGTCTGTCAGTCGGTCCTCTCGCTCCCCGCCGAGTCCTGTCCCTCCGCCACACAACCGCTCTGCCTTTTACGGGTGACCTTCCATCCCGAGGGCGCTTTTCAATCCGTTCCTGCCACCCACCATCTTACATGGAGCTTACACCCTTAATCAGGTGAGAGCGCTGTCGTGAGCTGCCTCTGTGTAGTGGAATACATCACATGGTGGCGAAGTGAATCCGCTGCACGCTGTTGACCTGCTTCTTCAAATTCAAATTCTGCTCTAGAAACGATTTGTTCAGGCTCCGTTTTCCACCTTTTGTGTTTCTGGGAACCGTAATCAGCTGTACGCCAATAGGTTAAAGCATTTTGTACGTTCAAAGAAATGACCACATCAGAAATACATTCAGAGCAGACAAAGACTTAAGATGCACAGAAGTAGAATGGCCGAGTTAACAGATGTCAAAAAGCGTGAGAGAAGCTTAATCTAAAATAGATAAATGGCCCGTGTGTAGTATTTCAAGGAGTCCGTCAGAAGGAATAGATTACAATATTTACAGCCATGTTTGCATTGGTGTTTAATGACCTAAAACTGAGGTGATCATAGTTGCACTTTCAAATCATTATTAGCTATGATGCTAACTCACTACATGCAAAACAGCAAGGCCGCGGGGGGGCACATATCAAATACAGTAATTGCAACCTACTTCGTATTGGTCTGTGCAACGGAACCGGGTTGCTATTCTGAAGTCACAACGCTAGATGGCGCTGTCAGACTTCAGACCGAATCCAGACCTCTGCCAACCATTTGTTCGTGTTGCATTCATTGTCTTCATCCTTTATGGAGCGCATTCAAAGGAACATATCATTGTTCTTCTTTTGACCTTCTGGAAGGTTTCCACTTAAAATTTCACCACGAGAAACATACAGTTAGCCACTTTATTAGGCACACCGGTGAAATCTAAAGAAGTCCAATAGCATTGTTTTAGCATAAAGTCAACTTTATGGTTGCTGCACTTACCATCCTACTGCACTGCATCATATTGATAGGGGCCTCTAATGTTCTGGTCCCCTTCAATAATGCAAATGGAAACAGCGGATGTGTGTGACGGTGTCATATGCATCACAGATCGCACAGTCAGGCAATTATGTAATTTGTGATATGGGCTATATCGATAAAATTGACATCACGTAACGTACTGTGTCAGTAAAGTAACACCTTTTAAGGAAGAAGTTGATCGTGAACCTGATTTCATTTACACATTTCTGACAGTGTCCCTCAAAAATCTTCAGCTTCATGAGTTTTGTAAAAATATGTGTGATGGAAGGAGCTCTATTGTGTTGGATGATATATGATTCTACAGGTGGATCTAATAAAGTGGCTTCTGCGTGTTTAATTTGCCTTTTTTGCCTCTGTATATAAAATAGATATCATGTCAATCTGTTCTCATACTCTTAGTTTTAAAGCTGCTAATGGGTTGAGCTGCACGGCGTGGGTGTTGCCTATTCATGCCGCTGTTTCCCGTGCAATATCATTTATTTTCTTATTAAGTTATTCATGCACATTGGATATTACAGCCTATGGGCTTGTTCAAGCCCAGTGTAAAAGCTGTTGTCTCTCCTCGTTTCCCTCCTTCTTTTTTCCATGAATTAGTCCTTCCCCTTAGAAACGGCCTTTGACAAACTCTCCCCAATTGCCCTCGGGGAGCCGGGCCCCGGTTCGACATGTTGGGTCACGTGGACATTCTTTGATGCTGTGGCACAAGACCGGAGCAATCCTGTTGCTTGTTAGTGAGTCTGCTGTATCCCACGGGGGGAAAAGAGAGTGTCACAGGAGTGAGTGAACCGTACTCTGACAAAGTAGTTCCACTTCCCCTCTTTCTCTCTGTCTGTCTGCCTGTCTCACTGCCTTGCTACAACTTCAACTTCCCCCCCTAAAGATGGATGAATAAGGCGGCTTAGCCGCTCCACCCGGGGGCCCTGCTTTAAATACCGGCCTTGGGGACAGGTTGTGTGCCATCACCGTGGTAACTGAGTTATGTTTATGGACAGAAAGGTTCCCCGGAGGACAAGCTGATGATTATTGGATGCTCGCTGTACTGCAGTGTTGGAAAGGAAACCGTTTGTTTCTGCTCCTTGTGCGGTATTTTCATAAGGGAGAACAAAGCGGTGCATTCTGGTCCAGTGCAATTTTAGAATTTGTCTCATGACAGCGCCGAGAGCAGATCAAATCCCTGATTTGGTTTTAATTCTGCCACTACGCCCTTGACAAACTCTCCCCCTGGTCTTTTGGGGGATTCCGCGCTCACACTCGGCCTATTCTCTGTTCTCTGTCCTTCTATCATGTCATGAGCGTTCATAACCGCCATAAAACGATAGGGGCAAAAAAGGACAGGTCCCCGGATGAGACACATTCCAGTAAATGTGTCCAGCCGCTGCCCGGAAGCGGGTCAACTCGGGGTCGCTGTTAGCATCTGGCCCCCGTGACCCACGCCACTCTGGGGGGGGGGGGAAGCCCTGCCGCGCTCAGGGCGATGACCGATTGGCCTGCTCCGGCTGCTGCGTCCCGAGGACCTCGCCGCGTGTCCTTCTGTCTGTTTGTCCCCCGTCCCTACGGCTTCACCAGCCCCACGGGTGCCGTTTGGTGTCCCGAGCGGCAGACGGAGACTGTTGCGGTGCCATCGTGTCGGCCACTCGCCCACGGAGGCAAACGTTGAGGTCTTTGCGACGCTTCAGCAATCAGAGTCAGGCCCTTGACGACGCGGCGGCGTCACCGTCACCGTGGTCATTCGGAGATGAATTATGTATTGTCACTAGGCCGTTGATCTGGAAGAGTGTCATAGAGGACCTGTAGATGATGACGCAGCTGTCACTTCCGACGTTGCTTTCCCAGGCTCGTCCCTGTCGGCGCCGGCGCCCTCGTCACTGTGATTAGAGCCACACTGCGATGCATCGATGGCCTAAACACCGACACCCTTTGGCTTTCCCTTTCACAAGCTGTCCAAATATAGCGCCTGCTTTTGAATTCTGTGAAAGGGGCGAGAGCAAAGAGACACTCCAGAAATAAGCACAGACTTACACAAGCACACACACACACACACACATATGGCACAACGACTCTCAGAACATCTTAGTATTTGCAAATAATTCAACCATTTCCTTAATGGCATTGCCCTTGCATGACAGCTCTCTGCTTGCGTGGATGACTTATTGTGTGAGTGCATCTGTGTCACGTCTGAAATCTTGATGAGATCTTAAGGAACACTGTGGAAGTCATGACAAGCTCGCAGTGAAGCAGAATGTGACTTCCTCTCTGTTGTTCCTGGAAGATTTGGAAATTTCTGATACTTTTCTCAAATACTGGCTATGGCCATCGCCTGCATCTTGATTCAAAATATGAGGCTCGTGAAAACGTTTCTATAAAATAATAGAAATGAATAACACTTGAAGATGCAGCCGTAAACAGCACCTGTTACCATTTCTTCTGCAGTGTTTTAATTTTCTTGTATTGATCCATTTGAGGCACTAGAAAGAACCTTCAAGTCTGTATTCCTATTGATATTCATTTGAAAATATGCCATTCTAAGCCGGCACAAATGTCCCCAGCATGTGCTTATTTGTTCAATCCACTTGAAATCTATTGATTTAAAATTGCTGGTTTTATACAAGCCTTCAAAGCTCTGTAGTAATTTAAGTTTTCAGAATAACACTCGTGATTCAGGTCACAATGCTTGCAGCGTTGCATCCTCTGGCTTCAGGGTTGGTTGCAAAAGGTCAGTGAAAACCTCACTTAACAGATTTTTTTTGGAGCCGAGTGGGTTGTGGCTTTTTCTCTTTCATCTTTGCATTTCTATTCATTTACTTCAAAAGTGCTCTCGACGTGGAAACAACGCATACATACAAATGTCAGAGCTGGAAAATGATGCCAGGGCGTGAAATGACTTGTTTACGTCTTTAGTCCCAGCCCAGCTGTTAAGTAGTTTTACATATTTATAGAAACACAGTTCCACATAGATGTAAACATGCATGTGACACAACTCAACAGCAGTATTGCGACATAATAAACAGAAATGCAGAAATTGAAGTTGAAGTTTAGAAATGGACAAAGAAAAACACATGTGATGTGTTACATTTGGTAAGAACACTTTGAATATGAATATTCTCATGACGTGTTGTGTAATTTAGCTCTTGGGCGCCATGGTTACATGTAAATGACGTAGGGTCAGTAGTTGTTACATAAAGTTACTTAGTTATCTTACATTGCTGTGAGGCTCTTATTAGCTTTATCCCTATCACTTTTTAAAGGGAATCAGGATTAATGGGAATGTAAAAACACCTTATGGTGTCATACCAAGGAACTATTTAGAGATTCAGAGTGTTAAACCCAAACTGGTGCGTGTTTTCTTGTGACCCCTGTTTGTGCCCTTGTGTTTTCCTACAAAATTGAGCACTTTTTATGCTAAGCCTGGCGAATTATAGTTATTCCCTGTTGACTATTATGGCTTCCCCATGCATGGCTTTCAGGATTATATCTGCCTAATTTAGTCAAATCAGCGGGAAAAGTCCCGAGCGCCCTTTCTGAGGTGGCCTTGAGCTTTGCCTCCGCCGCTCCTCTGCCGCCAGGTAATTTGACCTAATAAGACGTCCGATTGACCCTTTTAACTGCATCATGGCTGAAATAATTGCCTATACTCTCTCCACCTCATGCTGTTGCTGTGGAAACTGATGAACACTTGACAGCTGTAGGACGGGGTTGCCATGACGACATAGCCAATACGCAGTTGTGTGTGTGTTCGGAGTGGGCTCTATATTTTCTATTTTTTATTTTTGCAGTGTGAGTGGTGCTCGACATGCTGTCATCAGACGGGCATTATGGGAGCAGGGAGACGGAGCGATGCTGACTCCGGGGGTTTACCTCACCCTCTCCAGAAAAAGGATATTCCCCAACCAGGAGCTTTAAACCTGTCAGAGACCAAAGAGCCAGATCTGTCAACACGAGTCCCGAGGCTCTCACCGCCGCTTGTATTATCAGCCTGGGTCGTTTACGGCCTCTCTGGCCTGGGATTCACTGCAGAGCCAAAGGCTGCCGTCAGAGCACCACCCATCAAATCCTATCTGTAGTGTCTCTCAAACTAATTAGTAGGATACTTTTAGCGTTTTGGTCTCAAGAGGTGGA